CCATTTTTCCCCCGACTCCAGTACATTACATCCTCACAACTCCTACAAGATAAAGGAGTAGCAAGAATCATAGCCTTGGTTTCATTGTCCACTAGCCCCTCAATTTTAGCTGCATCCCACTCCAAGTACTCATCCACCATAAGCTCATACACCCTCAATTTCTCATCAGTTCCAGCAGGTTGTTGCAAAGTGTGAAGTTTACCATCCTTCACCAGCCAATTATCTTTCCAAGCTCTGATATTTACTCCATTGACAACACGCCATACTAGACCATCGCGAAGCAGCCCTTTTGCACCCCATATACTTCTCCAAGCATAGCTTGGATCATAACTTCTACATGCTTCGATGACCCCTGAGTTCTTGAAATATCTTGCCTCTAAAATCTTGTAAAGGAGGGAGTTCAGATTAGTTTGCAACCTCCAAATTTGTTTTGCCAATAAAGATTGGTTCAAACATTTCATATCTCGAAAACCCATACCCCTCTTAGCCTTAGGTAAACACAATTTTTCCCCACTTTGCCAATGTAATTTTCTTTTATCAATCCGTCGAGGCCCACCAAAAACAACACAAATGGCTATGAATCTCATTAATAAGACCCTCTAGAATTTTAAAAATACTCATCATGTATGTTGGGATCGCTTGTGCCACCGCTTTGATTAAGACTTCTTTACTTGGTTTCGAAAGCAACTTCTCCTTCCACCCATTCAACTTCTTCCAAATTCTCTCTTTTAACCCTGCAAAAATGGCCTTTTTTTATTTCCCAATGATCTTTGGCAACCCCAAATATTTCTTATGTCGATCAACTTCCCTAACTCCCAAAGTCTTAACAATTGCTTATCTTCTATCCGCAGCAACACATTTGCTAAAAGCGACCTTTGTCTTATCTAGATTAACTTTCTGACCGGATGCTCTCTCATACTTACTAATTATTTCAGCAATTTTCGAACATTCCTGCATAGTAGCTTTTGAAAACAAAATAATATCATCGGCAAAAAACAAGTGAGACACTCTTGGAGCAGAGTTGAATATTCTCGCCCCCACTTAGTTTCTTATCATGAGCAGCTTTAGATAATAAACAAGAGAACGCATCCGCACATAGAAGAAATAAATAGGGCGAAATTGAGTCACCTTGCCTGAGTCCCCGATCACAGAGCCCGAAATCTCATTATTCGCCTTAAAAGAGAAAGACACACTAGAAATACAATCCATCACCCGACGAATCCAGTTTTCACAAAACCCCAACTTCATCATCACCCTTTTCAAGAAGCTCCATTCAACCCTGTCGTACCCCTTACTCATATCGAGCTTAAGAACCATAGTACCATGTTTGGCTTCCCCTTTTCTTTTCATTGAGTGGAAAATCTCAAAAGGAATAATCATAGCATTGTCTGTGATTATTCGGCCTAGAACAAACGCACTCTGATCTACAGAAATAATATCATTGAGAATGACTTAAGTTTGTTTGCCATTGTCTATGATATTATTTTATAAATCACATTATAATAACTTATCAGTCTAATCTCAGTCATACATTTTGGATCATTACATTGAGGAATTAAAACAATGCAAGTATTGTTAATGTCCGAAATATTAACTAGACCTTTCCACCAATTTTCACCAGAGTAATAATATCAGGGCCAACTATATGCCAAAACTTCCGAAAAAATAGGGCGCGCATTCCATCCGTACCCGGGGCTTTGTTCGGGTGCATCTAAAAAAGTGCATCTTTAATCTCATCAGAACTCGGCTCTTCATCTAACGACTTGTTCATCTCCGAAGTAACCATTGGGGACATACCATCAAGAGCAGCATCAAATTCTGTCGGCAAGTCTGAGGAAAACAAAGAATTGAAGTATTCAGACACAATTTTTCTAATCTACGACTCCCCCACCTTCCACTCTCCATCCGAATCATACAACCCATCAATACGATTCTTTTTCCTTCTTTGACTAGCCTTTCTATGAAAATACGAGATGTTTTTATCCTCATCTCTCATCTCATTAGCTCGTGACCTCGCATACCAGTACGACTCCTCTAACCTCTGGAGCTCATTAATTTCACTTGCAAGTTCCTCACATGCTGCTAGCATAGCAGCGTCTACTTGCCTACCCTGGGCTGCTTGCAACTTCTCTCCGCACCTCCTTCTTTTCTTCTTCAACACGCCAAAAGTTTTTGCTGACCATTTAGTTAAAGAATCAGCACACATAGCAATGCGTTTGTGCGGTTCCAACCCCTCACCATCACCCCAAGCTTTCAACACTACTTCCTTACACTTCTCATTAGAGAGCCACATAGCTTCGAAATGAAAAAGTTTCCCCTTCGTTCCCCTCTCGTAATAATTCATAGTACCAAGGATAATAGGGGTATGATCAGACTCCATTCTAGCAAGATGTGGGACAGAAAAATTTAAGTGTAGCTCACACCTATTGTCATTTCCCAAGAATTTGTCTAACCTTTCCCGAACTACTGTATCAACATTTTTCCCTCTCTGCCAAGTGAAAATATTACCCTTAAAGCCCAAGTCACGAAGTCTACAAGCATCAATAGCAACCAAAAAAGCATCCATCAAACTCTCCCTTCTAGCTACCCCACCCTCCTTTTCTGCCGAACTCACAATTTCATTGAAATCTCGAGACATAATACAAGGAATATCACATGACGATTTTAAATTGATCATAAGCTCCCACGTTATATGTTTATTTTCTGTTTTCGACCACCCATAAATACCAAAAGCTCTCCAAATAGGAGTCCCCTCACTATCACACACATTAGTAGCACAATGATGTGTAGAGTAAGAGACAATATCAACATTTACCCCCTCCACTAGAAACCCGACCGCCTATTACTACTTATACATATGCCATTCTAAAAACCACAATGCCTTTTTATTTTCTCAAGTCTTTCTTCATCAATCTTAGTCTCCATCAAAAACACTACATTTGACCTCTCTCTCCAACACAAATCCCGAAGAGTCCTCTCTGTCTACGGGTTGCCAATCTCGTTCAAAACTTAAAATTTTCATTGTCCTTCGAGGGGGTTGGATTTTACCAACTCCCTCTACTTGGATTTGACTGTCTCCAGTAAGCATCGTAACTTCCACTTTTCTCTTCTTATCAGTATCAACTACCCCCACATTGTCTACATCGCTGTCAATAAAGGAAGCCCCCCTCTTTTTTTGAAAGTGCCCCCCCCCTCACCAGAATTATTCATTTTTCAAAAATTAATCTTTATACGTAAAAAAATAGCCAATTATTTTCGAAAGTTAGTAATTTTTTACTCTGATCTCTCTCTTTAAGTAGTGTATGTTCTTATTTTTTTTCAATAAAACTGCATTATTTAAAATACAATGACCTCCCCTTTGGTGCGTGGGAATTTATTGTGTAGAACAGTATGAGTTTAGTTTATAATGATAGAGTACTGAAAATTTGGGTTAGGTATATATTACTTGTAGTCGTATAAAAATTATTTTGATAAATTTGTTTGTTTACATTAGTTAATCTCTTTCTCAAACTGCGTGTCCAGAAGACGTATTGCATTTAAAAGAAAATGGAGAAAGTATATTCTAGTAATATAGATGTCTCATGGACCATGGTGTAATATCTAATTTTAAAGATTTTTTGTGAACCACTGCCATTTACTTTGCACTTTTTGTAAACAACTATCATTTAAGTGTTTTTTTTTTTACAACAACTACCATTATTTGAAGATTTGTTTGAGTACCATTACCATTTAGCGGTAACAGTAAAAAAAACCATCTTGTGGGGTCCATCTGAATCAAACTCTAACCACCCACCAGTCCCCCACCACCACCACTGACCCCACAAGACCACCAACTCAACTAGCCTTAGCCGTAAACCAAAATCTATCCAACCACCATGAAACCCCCTTCCTTTCTTCCTCTTCACCTTGAAATACTCCCATTCTGTCTCCTCCGCGCCTTCCGTTGCCAAATCCCACCCCACCGCATCACCTCTTCATTCACCTCCATCTATCGGAACCTCAACGCCCACTCACACCCGCATAATCAGGTGGGGGAGTGGTGGGTGGCTAGTTCAGTTCAAGTTGGGGGAGTAGTGGTGAGTGGCTGGTTCGATTTTGGGCAAGGGAGTGGTGGGTGGTTGGGGTTCGTTTCAGGTAGGGGATTGGTGGGTGGTTGGGGTACGGTTTGGTTTGGGTGGGGAGTATTGGGTGGTTAGGGTTCAAGTGGGCCCCATAAGACAGTTTTTTTAACAGTTGTTAAATGGTAGTGGTATTCAAACAAATTTCCTAATGATGGTAGATATTTACAAAAAAAAAAGGAAAATTAAAAAAAAAAACTTAAATGGTAGTTGATTTCAAAAAGTGCAAAGTAAATTGTAGTAGTTCACAAATTTTCTTAATATTAACTACTCCGATATATTGTCGTTTTAATGAAGGAAACTATTATTTAATTCGAGTTTTTATGTGTTTGTTAAATTCATACATCGTATTTCATTTGTAAATGTTATATGATGACTACTATATATCCGTTAATGATTTGATCATAGTATGTAAATATATGAGTACATCGTTTGTCATCTACTTTTGAATCAATAACATTATTTGATTAATTACCAAACCACATTCATCACTTCAATCTAGTGATCCATAGAATTGTAGGGTACAAAAGGGAATAATTAATAACGTGCTTCGGTCTAACTCTAATTATATACGTCGTACAAGAGTTGATATTTTTTTGAATTATATTTATATTTTATTTATTTATTTGAGAACACTTTGAATATTGCATTTTTGGACTGATTTTGATGATTTATATAGCCAAGGAAATTTTCACATACGAAGTATAATCTTATCCAATTTGCCTCCATTTACACTTTCATTATATCAAATCTATGATCTGTATTTTATTCTTATTGATAATTAAAAACATTGGTGTTTAAAATACTGCTGATTAGTAAAAAAACAGTGCTACAGGTAAAAAAAACAGCAGAAGAATCTTAAAATATGTATTATATTGTAAATTATTCAAACTCCAGCACTGTATATATCATTGTTCCATAACAATAATTCAAAAACAACATAACATGTAAAATGTGTGTATTAGAACGTACACATAGTAGGATATATATTTAGAACCCATGAAGAACTAACGTGGATAAAACAAGACGACCATATCGATCACTTGGTTGTTATTGTATGAAATAATACTTCAAAATCGTGGCATAATCAACTAAAGGTTCATTCAAAGTAAAGTAGTAATGTAGGATTACTACTTTACTAGGATATATTTAAAACATGAAGGAGTAACGTTGATAAACCAAGTAAGACCCTATAGATCACTTGGTTATTATTGTATAAATACTCCAAAATCATCCGGAATAGCAAATTACGGGCTCGTTCAAAATTTGGACTGAAGCATCTTCACAGTGTGTTCATCTAGCTGGAAGGCCTTGCTTAGTACATCAACATTGATAGGTGGATCAGCCCCGAAAACGGCATTAGCAATGGTGACCGTACCAGGGTTTTGGCTGCTTAGTCCAGCAATAGCGACAGCAGGAATTTTTCCAATATTGAATTGAAAATGAATGAGGCCTTGTGGAAAAACAAACACATCACCTTTGTTAAGCACCTTAGTGAACAACTTGTTATCGCCGTTAGCAAGGTTGGAAGTTACGAAGCCAACATAGAGGGTTCCTTCAATGACTGTAAGGATTTCACTTGCACGAGGATGCGTGTGAGGAGCGTTAAGGCCGTAAGGTGCATAGTCAATCCTAGCCAATGAGATGCCGAGGGTGTTGAGCCCTGGAAGTTGTAATGCAGAGACTAGCGTGACAGCGGATTGCACCCTATTGTTAGTGTTCCCGGGCTTGTCTAGCCCGTCAATAAAGAAATCCTCGGGTTTCGCATCCATTGGATTCTTGCAAAGCAACCCATTCACAAACACTGCAAATTAGTTAAACCGTTAACATCAATTTTGAAAAAAATGAAATAGAGTACTAATCAATTTTTTTTTAAGAAAATTCACATCGTTTGGAATTGAATTGGACAAAAAACATACGTTCATTTTTTGGGTCATTCATCGCAACACAAAAGTCTTGTAGCTGAGTAGGATCCGTTGCATAGGCCATGTAGGAAGACATGGCTGTGAAAGTAAGGTAAACAAGAAAATAACGAGCTTCCATTTCTCTTTTTCTTATGAAATTGGTATGTTACACTCAAATAATTAATGTGACTCTATGTGAGTATTACAAAGTGCAAGTTATAATCTTCTTTCATGCTAAATGATCCCTTTTATAGTTGAGGTTGGGGTAACTAGCTTAGGCTATGGTTCGAGGAAGCACGTAGAATTGGTCATTAATCATGAAACTTTCTAATCTATTTGTTTATTTTTCTAATGAGGGTAGTTAATTAATATTTTAATTTCTTACTTAGCAGGTAATACCTCATCAATCTTGCATTGTACAGTCGTCAAGGAGAATGGTTTTATATAATAATCAACTAATGTCGTAAGATTAGGTTAATCAGATTGAGTAGGACGCATTAATGATGCCATATCTGACCACAAATTATAATATGTGGCTGGCCACACTGTATGGACGGAGTTACTTAATCTTGTATTACTTATTCTGGGGGTTACTCAATCGGTCAGGGGTTACTTATTTACAGGTTACTTGGACGGTCAGGGGTTACTCGGTCGGCCAGGGGTTACCCTCACACAGAAAACGCGCTAACTGACTGAATAACCCCAGAATAAGTAACTCTTGACCGACTAAGTAACCCTTAATTAAGTAACCCCTGAATTGAATAAGTAATCCCGATGAAAATGCGCTTACGGACTGAGTAACCTAAAATAAGTAACCCTTAACCGACTGAGTAACACTTAAATAAATAACCCCTAAATAAGTAACCCTGGCCACACAGAAAAAACAATAGTTATAGTAGGATGTTCTAACTAATACCTTCGCTTTTTTTTTTTACTTACCTTTTGTTTTATGTTATTTTTGGAAAATTCTCTTTGTTAACATCGAAATTTTAATTTTCTTTTTGGTAAATCATAAAAAAAAAATATTATCTTTGGTAAACTTGTATTTTTTTTTAATGGAATAGGGAGGGGTGACTTCATTAAATAATAATAATATTAATAGCCATACAACACTTACAATCATCCCTTAAGAGATCTAAATTATCGATACAAATTTTATTAAACACCCCTAAACTAATGACATCGTTTCTGAAATGCTCCTGAATAATTTTAGATGTTTTTGCGTTGTTTTTGACGGAGCTCCATTGATGTATAGTCGCGAAAGTGATAAAACTTGATTTGTCATCAAGATCGGCAAATTTACAAGACAAATCTTTAAAATCTGCGCCTCTATACCAACAAATCTGCAGTTTCACAAATTTGCAAGACGAATCTTCCAAATTTGTATCCCTGCACACACGAAAAACAAACAAACAATCCATATTACAAATCCCACCATTAGGGAACCAACTAAACCGTACATGGAGGGACAGACTACAATCACCATACTGTTGGTGATCTTTATCGGCTAAAAACATTAAATTAAAGAAGAATTTAGGGCTTACCATCTATAAAAATTGATGGAAGCCCCTAAGTTTTACTATGGTGGCTAGGTTTAAAGAGAGAGAAACTGAGAAATTTTTAGTGTTTTTTTTTCTATACTAGATTTTGTTGAAATTGCTTCTTAGAAATGAATTAGGATGCTCCCGCCGCTTTGGGGTTGCCCTTGCCTTTCAAATTTCAAATTTTATTTCAAACTCCCTCCATTTCTATTTGCTTGCCCATATTCTATTTTGAAATGTTCATTAACGAATAAAGATTGTCCAATGGTAACACGTTTTCTCCGCTTACTTCACTTTCATACCCTCACTAAAGTGAAAACGATAAAGATATCCCCCAGAGGAAGCAATCAGTTTTCCTAATAGTCATTTGGGCACGTTATATTCAAATTTTGTAGAGACTAATATCACTTCTCTAATCTTACAATACTAGAAAATAGTCAATCAACGACGGAAAAAATCCGTTGGAAAACCCTGAAATTCCGTTGCATAGGCCATGTAGGAAGACATGGCTATGAAAGTAAGGTAAACAAGAAAGTAACGAGCTTCCATTTCTCTTTTTCTTATGAAATTGGTATGTTACACTCAAATAATTAATGTGACTATATGTGAGTATTACAAAGTGCAAGTTATAATCTTCTTTCATGCTAAATGATCCCTTTTCTAGTTGAGGTTGGGGTAACTAGCTTAGGCTATGGTTCGAGGAAGTACGTAGAATTGGTCATTAATCATGAAACTTTCTAATCTATTTGTTTATTTTTCTAATGAGGGTAGTTAATTAATATTTTAATTTCTTACTTAGCAGGTAAGACCTCGTCAATCTTGCATTGTACAGTCGTCAAGGAGAATGGTTTTATACAATAATCAACTAATGTCGTAAGATTAGGTTAATCAGATTGAGCAGGACGTATTAATGATGCCATATCCGAATAGCAAGAGTACGTAGGATATTTTGATAAATGCGAAAAATAAATAAGTACACTATAAACTATGTACAACTAAGATGCATAATTTTCTAACTACTACCTCTACTTAAGTTTTATTCAATTTTTTTTTCTTTATATTTTATACTGTTAGTTGAGATGAAATGCTAAAAGAGGGGAGTAAATTGTAGTGAATTCCTAAATAACTACTTTTCGCAGAATTTAAAACAAACTGAATAGGAACTTGCCAAGCAACAACGTTATTTACGAGGAAACCTTCCAGGGCCCAATTGGAAGTAAAACCTCGACCCTCCAAGGGATTTTAAACCAAACCAATCCACTATAATAGGGAAACACACCTAGTTACAACCTACATACTAAGTACGGACCTTTACTCACAAGTTCCAGACTGAACTTGCTACCTGATAGAACCCTATTCTATCCAACTTAAGTCCCGAACTTCACTCAGTATTCCTAGAGCACTCAAACTCAGCTTCACATTAGAAGCCTACAAATTGTATGCAATACCTAATTCACTCACCCAAATCCTAAAACAATACAAACACTTAACTCTAATATGAGATTGGAAAGCTACACATGAAACCCGAAACTAATATGATAAAGTTTTATACTTGGCAAACTTACTCTTAAGCACTCTTCAGAATTTCACGCATAAACTCACACTTTTTTCGGAATTTGAACAACTCTATTTATAAGAAGTATTCATAAGCCAAGTAGGGTTTTCAAAGGATAATCATAAAAACTGTCATTTATTAAAACCTAATATGAAATGAATCTTTTTATGAAAATCTTTAGGAAAATCAATCAAAGATATAATTTAGAAAATGATTATTATTTTGCAAACCAGATTTTATAAGATAAAATCTGTCAAAGATCTTTTCCATAAATTAAAAACTTATCTTGTATAAAACTTCCAATTTTACTTAGTTTGCCAAGCTTTATCACGTTTCTAATAGATCTCATGCATAATTAACCAACGCTTATTTACAGCAACCCTAATAACTTAACAAAACCTAAATAAATGACTTTAAGCTTATTACTGAATTGCCTCCTCAAGCTTCGTAGAGTATATAGGAACTTAGGTTCTTCGTAGACCAGGACTGAATTCCTGATGTCTTCTATTCCTTAATTATCAATAAGTAAAATTATAACAATTGGATATTAATAAACTATTATTCATTGAGCCGATTCCAACAAATACCCACAAAATAATATTTAATCTTATGTATAAATCACAAACATTAGTCAAAGTGAATTAGATGAATAGTGCAAAAGTCAAAACGTTTCACTTATTTAAATATAGGGGGAGTACTACTTTTGCTTTAAATAGAAAAGGTCGAGATAGAGAGTAAGGGGGCCCACAAAGTGGGTAGTAGTTGATTAAAAAAATAATTGGATACAAATTTAAAGCTATTAAAAAAGAAATAAAGTAAAAGTAAATAGGGCCTGACACATTCAAATAATGTATACTGTATCTTTAGAATTATATGAATCTTTTATCACACTGACAGGATCTAGTCGTATTACTTAATCAAAAGAAATTCCTAAGTCCTCTAACTAAAGCAAATAGGGAAGTAGGGTAGAATCCACAGGAAAACAACGTTCTTTTACTCCTAATAAATTAATATAATCTAAATTACCAAGTAACCAGAGTAAGACAATAATTAAACTAAGCAATTAAAATTAAGAGAAATATTAATATAATAAAGCCTAGGGCATAAGTTCACCGATAAATAATATTCCGGGATGAAGGACAACAATCAATTATCAATGCAAAATTAACCAGATTATAAAGGGCTTTCGCTACGTATTATAATCACAGAATTAACTTAGCGGTATTAAATCGCATATCTCGAATCTTGACTTAACCGTTTATAAATTAACCTGCCTATTGAAACTAAGCCTAAACATCATTTCTCATCTGTCGAATCTCGAATCAATATTACATAACTCATACAATTAAACCAGGCCTAATTTAATTGCATAGCATTAAATCAATCAATAGGAAATTAATTCAAAACACCAACAATCAATAATAATAAATCATCCCTTCATATTATTTACGGATCCCCAGAACCCTATAAACAAACTAGTCACACACGATTAAATAATCTAGACTAAGCAAAGCAATTAAAGGAAACATAATTAATTAAATTAAAGCAATAAAATTACTAGAAATAAAAGGGAAGAAAATTGTTACCAAAATAAAAGGAAAATATGAATTGCATAAACTAAAGAGTAATAATCTTGAGAGAACAAATTGTAAGAAAATCTTAAAACTCAAAATCTGGAAATTAACTAATGAATCACGTCCTAATCTCACTTAATAAAAGAGTATTTATACTAAGTAAGAAAATCCTAAATTAAACGAAGACTTAAATCAGCTGTAATCTTTTGAAGAAACATGCACCTAGCAGGGCGCCTGATTGCTCGGCCGGGCGGGCCTTCGGATGTGACTGTTGCTATCTCGCCCGGCCAGGTGAGCCTTCGGGTACTCAAAAATCTGTTTCTCTCGCCCGGTCGGGCGAGTCTTCAGGCCTACACAAATGCTCCGAACTTGGGCCTTTCTTAATATAATTGCTTAGCCCAATTCTCAATTCCAACTCAACTTGCTAGAGATGATTGCAAGTAGTGGGTCCTTCTTCCTTGCCGAGCCCTTAATAATTGGGTTTGAATACTCTAACACGGCCCTGGGCTACGGAAAGTAGTCATATGAGTGTGCTCCATATCCAATGTTCGTAGTGGC